TAATTCTTAACTTATTTATCACATAATACTTTTTACTAATAATCTACTTATTGAATATTACTTTTACTCCATCACATCAAGGGTATTTTTGGAAAATTTACACAAAAATATTCTTTTCTTAAATTTCATAAAAGTCAAAATGAGTACATCTTCATAAGACATAAGACAGAGAAAGTATGTAATTAAAACGAAGTAATATATAGGAAAATATGAAACTTCATATATGTGTTCCCAATTAAGTAGATTCTTTAATTTGAAAAATATATTGGATCTGGCTTCTGGTAGTTTCCGATTCATGCGTGTGTATAGATAATGGAAAACACGAAAGACAATTGATCGATATCATGCAAAAAGTCCACTCCACTCCCCACCTCAATGGAACCCGGCCGTCCATGTCATTTTATATTGTTTTCATTAAATTACATTCCAAAAATCAAATTGATTTTTTTAATAGCTCACCTGTAGTATTAATCAAATTAATCTCAATTTGTTAAAATAAACTTAATTATATTAAGGATCTACTTGGTACACATAGTTCAAACAGCAGAATTGGAATTGTGGATAATAATTCCAATTTTGTTGTTTGATTGCATAAAAATATGTGAATTTTGAATTGGTATTGGCAAAAATGAATTGAAATTTGAGAACTCAATTTCATCCAAATCAATTCAGTAAAATTTCAACTTCCAATTCAATTAAAATTTCTGGTACAAAAAAGACTCCAATAGAGTCATGCCAATTTTTCATTCGTAGAGCTTTTCATATAATTTCAAAGTTGATCGAGCAGATAATGGGAGCGAATACTGCGGCAGTCCAGAGGCCAGAAACAACGCGACACCGGAGACGGAGAGTGGGGTTGCTGCGGCGGTAGCGAGCAGAGCAAAGAAGGCCGCCGAAGAGCGGAAGACGACCGCCCTGAGGATTGACATTCCGGCGACCACCCCTACGAGGGCCATCTCCGCCGTGACGTCGATGGTTTGGGAAGACTTGACCACCAAAGAGGGCGGAGGGGAGAAGGACATTGTGAGCACTAAGAAAACACAATGTGCTGAAAAGATGATTAGGATGGCTTTTGTGGAGCTCTACCGTGGCCTTGGATTGCTTAAGATTTACAGGTTTTTTCATCTTTTTTTCTTCTTCATAAATTTATCCCAATGTTTTTCTCGTGTCACGATAAAAAGTTTCATCTTTGACTTGACAAGAAAATAATTTTTAAATTACTATTGACAAGATTCAAAAAAAGTTGGATAAAACTAAAAAAATTAAAGTATAAAGAAACTTAAATAGAAAGAAATTGAATAAGAAAATAGAGTCTAGGAAAAATAGAAGAAATTTTTTTACTATTTCCGTTTCACAAAACTCTTCCTCTTTCGTTTTTTTTGCTTTCCACAAAACACTTCCACTTTCTATTAAAAAACCACTTTACTTCTAGTTTTTCATACTCTACCTATCACATCATACTTTTTCACTAATAACCAAACTATCACATCTTACTTTTTCCTATCACATCAGGAGCACAATTGGAAAGTCAACCAAAGTTACACTTTCCTTATTTTTTCCCAAAGTCAAAACCGGGAGGGTTTTGTGGGACGGAGGGAGTAGAATTGAACAAATTGAACTTCGTTTAACTTTGTGCATCAAATGAGTTAAAATCTTAGTAACCGTAAAATGTACATAAGAAAAGAATTACAACAGGACCTTCATGTTTAATTTTATCCCCATAATAAAATACCCCCATAATAAAACCTACAATATCAATAATGTTAATTTATAATACCAAAAAATATTTTAAAAAATCAATACACACTATCCATTATTGCAGTACATGCAATGGTCTTATTCTTGTGATCAATTATATGAATTGATTATTTATTTCTATAGTTATTTGTAATTACATTAAATTTAAAAGGTATGAAATTACCACATTATTTTTTGAATTATGAAATATATACATGTAGAGTAGGTTGGCGTCGTCACTTGTGCTACTAGAGATTGCTACTTGATGAGGCATATATCATCTCTCGAATTGAATCATTCTTTCGTACGCAATTGTGAAGCGACCAAAATCAATGGGCATCTTCGAATCAGATTCGGAATATTATTTTCATTACAGAGAATACAACCATTATATAGTTACACTGATGATGAATGTATTACACTAACATTGCGGTGATTCACAATGGTTACAAAATGATAGTGCGATTAAAAATTTTATGCTAACGACATTTTTTATCGGTAAGAACTATCACCCCAATATTACACTGACACGAAATGAAGGTACACACATATTTTGTATAATTTGGAGTATGAATTTTGGGGTACAAAGAGCTTAATCCAAAAGAATATGTCAGTTTCCTAAAAAAAGAAAGAGAGAATTTGTCCGTAATATAGGGAGTAATAATTAAGAGGTCGAGTTTAGACCTTTTTAGTCAAGCCTTTGACCCCAAATTCAATACTCTCTCTCCGTTTCATTAAAATTTCCCCTCTTTCGTTTTTTTCCTAAAAACAATTTCATTTTTATTAAAAAATTATTTTTATCATTATTTTTTTCACATCCTATCTATCACATCATACTTTTTCACTAATAACCAAACTATAACATCTTATTTTTGTTAAATCACATGAAGGACAATGATTTTAGGGAGGAAGTACTTATCATATTGCAAGTTAATATTGTATTAAGAAATACCACTCCAATGATTAATTACATGCATTATTGAAGAAAACTACATGCATTATTATTATTATTATTATTATTAAACCTAATAGTATAGCAATATAAAGATAGCATGCAGGCGTTGGCATGATGTTCAAGAAATTCAATAATAATGATAATAATAATAATAATAATAACAATAATAATAATAAGTTAAATTTAAAATAAATTGAATGAACTTTAGACAAGGAGATTATTAGGAAAGAGCAATAGTTTTCATGAGGTTAGTTTCATGTACGTACTTGTGCAATACCTCCTTTTGGCAAATGCCAGATGGTTTTTAATTCCTTGAACGGAACGGAACGTGATTAGATATCACATTAATTACTCGCAGTTTCCGTAATATATATACTTTGATAGATTAACCTCGCCCACTTTAATTAATTAATTAATTAATTAATTAATTAATTAATTAATTAGCGGCTGCCTATATTTTTGACAGCTCTCTAAACATGGTGGCGTTTGTCAAGATCCTTAAGAAATTTGACAAGGTAAGCAAATATATATATATATACACTTCTTCCTTATCATTAAATAATTTCACTTTCCATTTTTTATTCTTCTCGTAAAGCCTTTTCACGCACTTTCGATTAAAAGGTAATTTACGTAAATAGGACTTAAACATAACATTTTTCTCGAAATATGACCTGTCATATCTACTCTGACGTTTTTTCAATAAAAAAATTTAAAATGCCATGCTCTTGAGAAAAATGACCAATTACATAATTCAAATAGAATAAAGTATTATTAAAAATGATTTGAATAGTCATTGAAATAATAAGTCATTATCCAACACTTGTTACTAATGACCACATTCGTAGAGTCATTCGTACAACCACTCATTACCCAACACTTCCTAATAAGGGCATGTATAGCAGATCATATGGAATTTATATGTCATAAAGGGAATAAAACACACTTGGTCCTTTTTAGGATAACATATTACCTTTTAGTTTTATATGGAGAAAATTTTTCTTGATTAAAATATCAAATTTACTTATACTCTATCCGTTCTCAAAAACTCTTCCTCTTTCATTTTTTTAATTCCAACAAAACACTTCCACTTTCTATTAAAAAACCACTTTTACCTTTACTTTTTCATACCCTACCTATCACATCATACTTTTTCTCTAATACTCAATCTATCACATCTTACTTTTACCCATCACATCAAGGGCAAAATTGGAAGTCAACTACAATTTAACACTTCCTTATTTTTACACAAAGTCAAAATAGGAATACTTTTATAGAATGGAGGGAGTATTAATTATTAATTTACCTACTAAATCTCATTGACTCGTCAATATTCTACCCATGACATCCAAGATTAAATTTAGAAAATCAATTGCAAGATACACACACATTGAATTTATCCTAGAGTCACAAACAATTTAGACACGAACAACACAAACTTACCATTTTTATACTTTTCAAAGTGAATGATCTTAAATAATTACAAATAAAATTTTAAGTATACAAAAGGCAAGTTTGTGTAGTTTGTGTCCCAATTATTGTTTCTAGAGTTATATACAATTAATATTTGAATGTAATAATGTTGCATTTGAAACAGGTATCTAAGCAGCAAGCATCAACGAACTATCTAAAACTAGTGAAGAGGTCATATTTCACTAGTTCTGATAAGGTAAAAAATTAAGGAGTGCAGTGTTCTACTATACTATACGTAGCATTCATTTTTTATGCAAATTAAACCTTAATAACGACCCCTCCAAATTGATTTATACGGGTTAAATAAGTTTATAGTTAATTGTGATTAATTAAATAATGCATGCATTATAATTTGGTGAATTGAAATGTGAAGGTAGTGAGACTAATGGACGAAGTGGAGTCGTTATTCACGCAGCACTTTGCTAAGAATGACCGGAAAAGGGCTATGAAGTTCCTGCGCCCCCAACACCACAAAGACTCTCACGTCGTCTCTTTCTTTTCTGGTAAATAATACCTCCGTTCCAGTGTATTTGTCCAGTTTGACTTTTTTGAGTCAAACTAGATAAACTTTGAACTACAATTACTATCAATTTATATTGCATATTAGCATAATGATATACAATTTTGAAAGTTCTCAATACGATAAATCCAATAAAGTCATTTTTATGTTAAAATATATTACGATTTTTATTTAATAAAAACTCAAAGTTTATTCAGTTTGACTCGAAAAAATCAAAACGGACAAATACACTGGGACGGAGGAAGTAATAATAATAATATTAATTAATTATAATAATGAATAAATTACATACAAATGGAGGTTGTAATTTGGTNGCAGGGCTATTCACAGGGTGTTTCGTGACATTATTTGGGGTGTACGGAATATTGGCGCACCTGAGCGGCATGTTCTCTACTGCAACAACCCAAGATGCTGCTGCCTATGTTGAGACTGTCTACCCTGTTTTCAGGTATACCCTACCCTACGGACCCCTCGTGATTTCGGAGCAATTACCAATTAGTGAAGATTTTTAGTTTAAGATTCCTATTTGCATGAACCCTCCTGCCTCGGATCGACTCAAACCGATTTAGCTGACTTCGGAGTCAAATTTGACTCCAAAAATCAATTTGACCATAAGTTGACTATATTTGCATGGCATGGCATGGCAGCATATTTGCGTTGTTGAGCCTGCACGTGTTCCTGTACGGGTGCAATCTGTTTGCGTGGAGGAGCACGAGGATCAACGTCAACTTCATCTTCGAGTTCCAGCCCAAAACGGCGCTCAAGTACAGAGACGCCTTCCTCATCTGCACCTCTCTCATGACGGCGGTGCTCGGGGCCATGGTTCTCCATCTCATCCTCTTCTCCAGAGGCTTTTCTTCTGATCAAAAACTCGACGTCATTCCCGCCATCCTCGTCCTGGTATTTGATGAACTCCATAGTTTCTTCAGTTTGACTTGAGAAAATCAGACTGAACTGATATGAAAGTAGTACTCCATATAATAATTTGATGTGGTAATTAATTAATTACTCACTCTGGCAGTCATTCCTTGGAGTGCTTATATGTCCATTGAACATTTTTTACCGCCCCACGCGCATTTGTTTTCTTAGAGTGATTCGAAACATTGTCTGCTCTCCATTTTACAAGGTGCGTACCTACATATTAAAATTATTATTATCTCTTAAAACAGTTTATAAATAGTGAGTATTTTATTGGTGTTAATTAATTATCGCAGGTTTTGATGGCTGATTTCTTCATGGCTGACCAACTAACTAGTCAGGTACGTACGTATATATATATTATACATACATGACTTGCTTCCATTTTATTCACCTTTAAACAAATTAAGAGTTCTCTCAAAAAAAAGTTTACATATTTAAAGGAATTAAAGCTTAATAAAAAAAATTAATTTTAAACCATTACAATAAACTTACATATATTACGGGTGCTTCTTTGTACTTATAAGCTGTATTATCTTATAAATCATCTGTCGACGTGCTTCTTTTGTGCTTATTTATAAATTGACTTGTACGCTGTTTATAAGTTAAAAAAAAATAGGTTTTTGATGTTTTGACTAGATTATTTACAAAACTGTATCTCATCTTTTATGAACATCCCTACTCAATTAAGTAATTTTACTTTCACGAAAGAATATTTAACTTTTAAGCAGCTTATAAATTTAAAACTACTTATTAGTATTTATAAGTCAATAGTAATTACTTGCATGGGGAAACACCACCATTTTCTAACTAGTACATCTATCCATGTGTATTTGCCTATTTCGACTTTAAAAGTTAAACTAGACAAATCTTGACTTTCAAGTATTTTGGATGTATATTGTATATTAGTATAATGAAATAAAGATTTTAAAACTTGTCAATAAAAGGAATCTAGTAAAATTATTTTTATATAAATATAATACAGGGGTACCGGGTACGGATGGAATAAAAACTTAGGTGTACCGGCGTACACCAGGCTTAACCTATTTATATTCGCCTTTAAACGAGACTTTATCTATTTATAAATCGTGATCTGATCTGAATGTAATTATATTTTAAAGTTGATTGGAGATGACCTATCTCTTCTCCATCTATCTTATCCACTAATTCCCAAATTGGCTCTGTTAAAATGACTCTTATATGCTATGAGTTTCGTCCATTTGCAAATTGCAATTTCCATCTTATCTTTGCCAATATGCAACGGTAATCACTCTGAGTGTATGTAGATCCCATTGCTAAGGCACATGGAATCGTCGGCGTGCTATTTCCTCGCCGGAAGTTTCAAGACCCACAAATACGAGACCTGCAAATCCGGCCGGATGTTCACGGAGCTCGCTTACCTCATCTCCTTCGCGCCCTACTACTGGCGGGCTGCCCAGTGCGCCCGGCGGTGGCTCGACGAGGACGACGCCAGCCACCTCGCCAACTTCGGCAAGTATCTCTCTGCGATGGTCGCCGCCGGGGCCAGGCTAACGTACGCCAGGCAGCCCGAATCGCAGCTCTGGCTCGCCATCGTGCTCGCCACTTCATCTACGGCCACCGTTTACCAACTCTATTGGGATTTCGTCAAGGATTGGGGATTTTTCAACCTCGATTCCAAGAACACGTTGCTCCGAGATGATTTGGTTCTCAAGAATAAGATCGTCTACTATGTTTCCATTGTAAGTTCTTCCATTCATTTCAATTTTTCAACACATTTGCATTAAGGCTAAGTTTAATTGATGAACTTAATTATGACCTAATTATGAAATAGACGACCAGTTAATCAATTGAATTCAATTTTTATTGTAAACTCGGATATGCTCAATGATAAAAGTCTGATGGGCCAAACATAGCTTGGGGGAACGCAAGCCCGTTATGTGCATTTGCGCGATAGGGCCAACCCACAAGCCCACGAGGGTTCTATCCTATAACCAATTTGTTTCCCCGGACACTCAATTATGATTTATGAATTCCATGAGCTGCTTTTTCCATAATTAAGTACTAATGAACAAATTGGGGATTCAAAATTTTAGGCCTTGAATTTTGTCTTGAGGCTGGCATGGGTGGAGACAGTGATGCGTTTCAACGTTGGGGTATTCGAGTCACGCCTCCTCGACTTCTCACTCGCTTCACTTGAGGTCATCCGACGCGGGCATTGGAACTTCTATAGGTACATATCTCATCTGACCCCTATGTATATATCCCTTTGCATAGAAGTTATATACTCTAGTCACCCCACGGATCACACCAAGGTTGACACTATCAATGTCTCATGGACAGTTGTGTCTCTGCGAGATTGTCTCTAGTGGTGTCAACATTGGTGTGATCCTTGAAGTTGAAGTAGCTCAACTCTTGAGCTCAACATGAGATGATGAGAGGGAATGTGAAATGTTTCAATAATTCAGTCATGATAGATACATATATGCAATGGTTGGTTAAACAGGTTGGAGAATGAGCATTTGAACAATGTTGGAAAGTTTAGGGCAGTGAAAGCCGTTCCATTGCCGTTTCGCGAAACAGACTCTGATGTCTAATCTAATGTGTTTCTCATTATTATTATTACGAATACTATTTCAGTGTGTAGATATGAAGAAAATGTATCCGGATGTGCTAAACTGTAAAGATCATAATAACATAATCTTCTTGACTTGTATAAATCCCAGTCTCTGGAAAAAAAACTCTAATATGTATTTATATATAAGCCTCTACAAAAAATTGCCTTGTTTTATCATATCTGTGATCCGTTTGGAGAGGCAAAATGCTGTTGCCTGAATGGTGATCATAGGGTTCACACCAACCGCACCCGGAAGGACACTTGCGTCACAAACAAACAGCCCCTCCGCTTCCCAGCTCTCTCCGTTTTCGTCAACTGCCCCTTCTTTAGGAGTGGGACCCATTCTACAGCTCCCCATCTGATGCGCCGAGGAGTAAGTAGTGAAGTCCTTCACCATAGACTTTGGCCCCTCGGCTGCCATTACCGTGTCTAAGAACTCATCCACCTCCTTCTTACTTGCCCCTTCGCACTTCATCTTCTGCCCACTGCTTAGGTGTGTTCCTATCTCAGTTGCCCCCGCTGCGATTAGAATCCTCAACGCTTGGCGTGCCCCAAATGTTAGGTTCTCTTTGTCCAATGTGTCAAACTCGTAGCTTATTCTTCCCTCCGATCTCACTTCTCCGGTTCCCTTGTCTTTGACCTATAATCAACAATAATTTAAACTAATATTCAATAGGACTCCAATGAAAAGAGATATATACACTATAGGATCATATCTACCATTGCAAATAAATGTGCAGTTCTTGAATACTTGAGCAATCTTTCCTTCATATCCAAACCAGACACCCACGGCTGAAGTGTAGCAAACGATCCTGGCCCTAGGATCGGAGCTTCTATGATCGCTCTTGTATCGGACCCACCATCCCTCACTCTGTGCACTGACGTGATTATCCCTCCCTCGTAGTTTTTCCCCTTGATCTCCGAATTAGACTCCGGGAAATACCCCCACACCATTAAAACCGGGTGGAGATGGAGATTCCTCCCTATGTTAGGGTTCGATAACCCGCTTGAGAGCATTAATGGAGGTGTTCTAAGAGATCCACATGCTAAGATTGTCGCCTTTGCCTTAATGCATATCTTCTTGTTGTTAAAAGATGTTGCAATCACCCCTACACACTTCTTCTCCTTCTTGTCCCGTGTTTTCCGGGTCGTGTTCCTTTGGAGCAGACATCTCTCGGCTTTGCACCCCGTTAAGATCACGGCCCCAAATTTCACGGCGTCAACCAGCCAAGTTACATCCGTTCCCTTTTTGTCCCCTCTTTTACAACCGTAGCAGCAAGAACCGCAGTAGTGGTTCGTGGAGGAGTTTCGTGGGACAGCCTCGAACGGGAGCCCGAGATTCTCGCACCCTTTCCTGAGAATCTTGTTCTGGAATCCCTCGTCGGAACAGCCCTCCGTTACGCCGATTCTTTGGCACACTTTATCCATGGCAGAAGTGTAGTCTTGGGTAGAAAAGAGTGAGATTTTGTGATTCTTGGACCATTCTTGGATTGTGGACTCTGGGGTTTTAATGCAGGCTGACCAGTTCACGGCGGAGCCACCGCCCACGGTTGAACCGGCCAAGACTACAACTTTCCCGTCCAAGGTGGAGAGGATTCCTCCGTTTTCGTATAACTCATTCATCGACGGCCCTTCAAGAGAAGAATAATCAGATTTGGTAAAGTAGTTCCCTTTATCAAGAACTACCACTTTCTGGCCGGAGCCTGCGAGAACGGCCGCCGCCACAGCTCCGCCGCATCCGGAGCCCACGATCACAACATCACATTCAATGTTTATGCGGTTCTCTTTATGATCTTCTGTCGCTGTTAGGCCTTTCTGGAGAAGAGAATTGAGCAAAGTAGTTTCGTTTTCATTTCTGGTTTCCACGATTCCTTTCTCGAGAGGTCTTCCTTCTTCTTCTGGTCTGTTTGACAGGTCTTCATTGTCATCCACTTTATATCCCATGGCTTCCCAAGTTGGGTTCTTTGAGTCTTCACCCACCTAAAAACATTAAAACAACATTCACTTGACCAGATTTAAGGCTTGTTTTGTGAAAAAAAAAATGATATGTGCTTTGAAATTTGAACTGAAAGATTTTAGTAATATGTATGGGTGGCCGGTGGTGGCCACCGATGGTGGGTCCTTGGCGTTTGTCTGAGATATCAAACCCCGATAGGAGATACTAAAGCACCCTATTTAGAAAGGTTGTGATATCGGTAGATATAAAAACTTATATCGTTTGTGCCGAGCAAATGGGCCCCAAATTAATCCAATTCCAAAGTACAAGTCAAAATAAGGCCAGTTTGGTAACTACCTCGGGTTTATACTATCGGTGCAGTTCGGGTGACACTGCTTTCATGATATCTGCTCCAATTGAAGCATTTACGACATTCTTTTCGTAAAATTGATGACTCCTATCCTACTAACCCCTCTCCTGCTCTATCCATATCAATTTTTCGGAGTGTTAGAAGTGTAGGCACCATCAATTTTACGAACAAAGTACTATAAGTGCTCTGATAAGACAGTATCTCGTAAATCGGTGTCAACGAAACCGCTTTTCATAACTCATAAGCCAAATAAATAGTTTTGACTAATTCTGCTGGTCAAACTAAACGAAACGTTTTTTTTAAAACAAATTAACGGCTAGTTAAATTTCAACTCTTACCAAATACGCGTTATAGATGGTTCAAGAGTGTGGTTGAAAGAGCTTGATCATTAATTACAATTGAACTTGTGTGCTAAGCATGATTTAATGCTGCTAAATGACATATGTTTGTATTTTTCTATTTTTATCTACATAATAAAAGCATTTTTTAGGTTTCCATTTATTAGTATGAGAAAAAATGGTAGTGGTTCACATGGAAAACCTTGAATGGTCGCATATGTACAACATTAAATGATGCAAAATTTAAAAAAAATGGCAAAAAGATTGATCTGGCAAATCTTGTAGAATCATAAAAGACTTGACGCGCAGGCGGGTGATGTGAGTTAACAAAGGCAAGGAGTGTCAGGAGATTAGATTCGAGTTTGATTCCTGACAATTGCGCTAGCAGGTAAATTCTAAAAATAAGATTTCCGCAAGATTCAGGTGCAGACTCCCTCTTTACCATCAATTTGTGATCAAAGTCCAATTGACTTCTTCTCAGTGATCGTCTGACCGAATTTGAATGAGTTCTCGGAAATGAGGCTTATCCAGCCATCCTTTATAAAAGACTAGGACGTTTTGCATCCATGAGTGACATGACCAGGATGATGTAGCCACCTGATCCACTTCCATTTTTTATTCCTTTTCCCAAAATTCTCCGACTTATCATTTAAAATCGCCCTTTTACCCCTATTAATCGTCAACTTATCAATCACATCATATCTCTTGAGTATGAATCTACCTATCACATTTTATCTTACCCCACTATAAAGTATCGGCGAAACTAGAAAGTAACATCAAAATTACACGTTTTTTGAAAAATGAAAAAATTTTATTAGACAAACAGACTTGATCAGAGAGTAAGGGGCTGTTTGTTTCAGCCTCTTAATGGTTCAGATGTCTGAATGGTTCAGCACTTAATGGTTCAGACTGTTTGTTTCTGCCTCTTAATGGTTCAGATGTCTGAATGGTTAAATATTATATAGAGTCTGAATGGTTAAGACCTCTTATCTGAATTGATCAGACATTTGCCTCTGAATAGTTAAGCAATATACTAATGGTTCAGACCTCTTACTGGTTCAACACTTAATGGTTCAGACGTCTTACTGGTTCAGCACTTACCTATTCAGAAGTTGCCAAACAGCCCCTAAATGATAAATATTTGATGAAGAGTGGGGAAGTAGCAGTACAATACTATACCTGGGTGAAGAAGACAAAGAGACAGATGAATTTGATGAAGACAAAGGCCAATCTGACAGGAGTGAGAAGGGATCCACCCCTGAACCATCTCTGAATCACTCTCTCCCTCTTCTCCACAGGAATGTTGGAGAAGGTGTTAATGAAAGGCCACTTTCTGTCAAAACTGAGCAGCCCACACACCACAAGTGTCCCCAACCTGGTTGACAGGACCCTCAACAACCCTCTCATCAGCACCGCAGCTTCCAAGAACCCCCTTTTCACCCCTATCTCTGCCACCTTCATTCACAAACAAAATATGCCGGCGGCGTAACTTAGCTGGTCAATAAAAACGGCGACGATAAAAGCCCAATTTACCCGTTTTTAAGGTATGGGTCTGGTGCAAAATTCAACAAAAACACAATTATAAAGATTCGAAAAAATCGAAATCAAGAAGGAGAAAAAACCCCCCAAGAATCAAGAAAATGTTATTATTGTCACCTCATCAGGAATGGGGTAGTGGGAGCCAGAGGCTTTACAGAAGTGAAGGATGGATTCTTGGGTAGCATCAAGATCACATCTTTCTTGGTGAGAACTATTGATGACTGGGAGAGGAGGCAAAAGGGCTTCACAAATACTGCTCAGAGCTTCCATTTCTGAAGAGGAGAAGCCATGACTGTACTTTGTGTCTCTTCTCCCTCCTCTTAGCAATGGATGACAATTATTTCTCTCCATTTTCTTTCTTTCTTTTCCTTCTTCAAAGATTCCTTCTGATCCGATCCTCTCTTTCTTTCTTTGTTTTATGAATTTGATTATAATTATTAATTTGTAATAACATGTTGACAATTTATAGTGGGGGTGGTCTATTGTCTGTTTCTGCATGCACGGAAATAGAATAATTTTAATTTATTTAAACAGACAATAAATTAATGAAACTAAAACTTAAGTCATTTTCTTAAATAGCACTTAAACTGTTTTATTCTCTAAATCGCACTTAATAATGTCCATAATGTCTAATGATGACAAAAAATTTACTAAAATAATGACTAATGGATAATGATTAGAAGTGCTACGTTGGAAAAAAATACATGTGATGCTATTTAGAAAAAGTCATTATGTCTTAGTTCTATTTAAGTAAATTTTCCCATGACACAATGAGAAATTCTTTTAACAAATAAAAGAGCATCCTGAAATATCAACCATCAATTTTAATTTATAATTTTCAAGCTCTAAATATGTGTAAAAAGTTAATATGCAAAATGAACATTTTTGATTGACTTGGCCTACATTCTAAGAATCTTAGAATCAAATTTAACCAATGTCAATTTATAAATTGACTCAAACTTTATAAAGTCGTAAATTTATTTTTTAAGTTCTTTTTATAAATTCTTTTTATGTTTTTTTCTAAACACAGAAGTCGTATTTTTTAATTCTATACGAATGTATAAATGAGAGATAAAGTTGTGTATGTTGTTCAAAAACGGACAAATAGTTTGAGAGGGAGGATTTTCTCGGTCCAAAATTAAATTGCATGTTATCTTCTCACATGGTCAAATTTTACTCACATTCTTTCCCTATTTTGTTAGTCATTTTGATAAAATAATAAAGTCACGTCACTACTATTTATGTACTACGGAGTAAATCTTTTGATATAGTTTTTAAATTTGTACGAGTGATTTTTTTTAATTATACACTGTTTTTCATATAAAATAATTTAAAAATAACTTTGGTCAAATATCGTATATCAAAACATGCGATTTAAATTAGAAGGAAGGAAATAGTGTTTATATCGTTAGGTGGAAGGAGACTAAATTTGTCTCATCTTTAATGTGTTTTGTGCATTTTCGAACCTTTTTCTCCAAAAAAAAAAGGTAGCCAAACGAGCACAATATAATTAGTAGAACGTGCATTTGACCCGAGTTTAGAAAGTGGTTAGGTGAAGGGAGACTGAATCCACCCACCATTCATTTCACACCAAGTCCCATGTTCAAATTGTTTGTAATGTATCTCACCCTCACAAGTCACACAATATTACTTAAAATAACTATAGCTGGTCATCAAACATTATAGGCCACTATTTCTTCTTGAGCCATGCATGGGAATTCCACAATGAATTTATCTAGGGATACACTGAAATGTGTATATATTCTATTTGTATACCAGGTTCTCACAGATTCACACAAACACGCAATATCTGCACACGCACAGACATTGCGCGTGTGTATCTATCTTGATATACAAATGAGGTACTCATCTTGGTGTATTCTTAGCATTGTCCTTCCACATTGTATTCCTTTTTTTGGCTCCAATTGCTTCCAGAGACATCATAGACTGTCATTCTCACACTATGACTCTGTCACGTGACACTGCAACTGCATCTTTACCGTTAGGATTTCTTTAGGGTTTGAATTTGAAGTTTAATTACAATAACTCAATTGGGATTTTTTTTAGGTGTGGCCAGATATATATAGATACTTGGTATCCAAATTCCGAACGTTGTTTTACAAATAATGCACCAAAAAACGATGTGTGCAAATGCAACATCTTACGTGTATATGTTTACTTTGTATTTGGGAACCACTTTGGGACGGAAAAAATAATTCACCTCTAAATGGAATGAACAAAAGAAATGAAAATCACATGATAGTAAAGGAAACTTACACAAGATTGGTTAATTTCCTTTTCCAAATGGATGCATGCTCAACAATTATATAAGTTTACATTTTTGTTGATGATATATATTTATATATATATATATATATATATATATATATATATATATGAAGTCATTTAATTACACTACGTTGTACTCTCTTTGTCCGGAAATATTCTTTCCATTTAAATTTTCACGGTCTCCAATATTATACGTTGATCATTAATATCTATATTTATGCATAGATATATGTAGTAGAATTATCATATTTCAAAACTACGTTTCATTAAGAATGTATTGATATTAAATTTATATCACAGTAAAATGTATTTTTTCTATGAACCGGAGTCAAAGTTTACAAACTTTGACCAAAAAGTCAAATGTGAATAACATTTTCAGATGGAGAAAGTGTTCTCTTTGTTACGCTATTTTTTGAACATGAAAAGATGACATAAACTATAAACAAAAAAAATAACCAGAGAAAAAAATCAATAGAGAATGGATTGGTCTGTGCCTTTGTCTCACGAAGCTTTCATTGTGTCCAAGCCAACACTTGCCTGCCCCAAAGTGAAATAAAATCAAAACTTATTTTGGACAACGTAATTAATTAAGTATACGGAATTCAAATTATGAAATTAGAATTATGGACAATAACTTCAATTCTGTTGTTTGGTAGTAAAAAAACATGTAAATTTTGGAATTGGTAGTCTCAAAAATAAATTGGAATTGGAGAATTGAATTCCATCAAAATCAATTCCACATGATTTTAATTTTTAGGGTCCGTTTGGTATACGGAATTGATGGAATTGGAATTGAATTGGAATTGAAATTCCATAGAATTGAATTCTGCCAATTTCAATTCATTTTTTGCACTATCAATTCCAAATCCACATATTTTTTGTGCTACCAAACACCAGAATTGGAATTGAAGTCCTCAATTCTAATTCCATGGTTTGAATTCCATATACCAAACGGGGCCTTAATTCAATTCCAATTCTGTCAATTTCGTGTACCAAACAAACCCTAAGAGGAAATTGGATTATAGAATCAATAGAATAGCGTTGGAAGGTTAATTATTAATTAATGAAATTAATGGTTGATGATATATATGTGTGTGTGTGTGTGTGTGTGTTTCTTAATTACCAAGAATTTGTGAATCTGGTGGAGAATGGGTGATAATGTGGTGTAGAAAGCCTCCACCTCTCCATAGCTGTTCCTACCTCCTCCAACTATCACCTCCATGAACTTCTTCCTATCCGGAGCAAGCTTGATTGCAACCTTTTTTTTTTCATATTAAAAGAGAAAGAAAACATTATTTCAATTAATAAAAGAGTAAAATTAATCATACCTAATTAAAACATACTACTCCCTATGTGTCTTATTTGCCAATTGAAAAACTCTTAAATGAAAATGACATGATTTTTTAAAAGAAATTGGGATGTAGATAAAAAAAATGTCATTTATTTTACTAGTGCAAAAATGAGTACGGTCAATTCAAAGCTAGCTGAAGCTAGCTAGCAAGTGACTGTATATTAAAGAAAGATTTCAGAACGAGTCTTGCATGCGAACATTAATATTTTTAAATTGAGTGACAATGAAGTTCATTATTCAAGCTCGCGACCTCTATCTAGGTGTGGAAGACTTTGATATAAACCATGTCAAGGGTTCAATTAAACCATAAATTAAAGATCGATCATGCTCGTAATTGTGGGTTTATGAAAAATTTTATACTAAATCATACTGAAAAGGTAGAGCTAGCCAGCCATCCATGCCAGTTTTTCAACGTCTTAGCGTAAGAATCACTGCATGCTTGTGACATTGACCAGTCTTGATTCTGGGCCAAGTTCCGGAAGAGCTCCACTATGAAATCCATTGTCCTAAATAAAGCAAAATGCATGCATGCATGCATACGTGTCTAGACGATCAAAATTAAAGTACGTACGCGACATGAAAGATTTTATACTACTTCAACAAAAATGTGTGAAACATGGAAACACATGCAAGAATAATGATAATAATAATAATAATATAATGTTGTATGAATAGAGTAATAAAAGTGAAGTACTAATTCCATTCCAAATTGAACAATATAATAATATAGGTAGAGTAGAGTAGGTATGGTACCTAGTGAGCCAAAGAAGAGCATTGGTGCAACTGGATGAGGATTTGGCAGTTTTGGTTTCAACTTCTGCTTGTACAAAACTGTACAAGTAGTTGAATCTTGATGGGTTTGTCTCATATTTGGATTCCAATCTCTGCATCCCCGGATTTCAATTCATAACTAATTAATTAACAAAATTATACTTCCTCTTTGATTATTATTATTAATGGAATAATCCCAACTATAAAAAAATAATTTAATTATGTTTCCAAGGAACATTATTCATTAATTAACAAGCTAAAAAGAAAAAAAAAATCATGCCTTAAATTACCGATATGTTTCCACTGATATCTGATTTCACCACACTCATGGCTGCTCCTAGTTTATCTGGCATATATATATGTATGCACAACCAATTTAATTACACTATATAATAGGATACATATATGTATGAAGTCTATAATACTCCCTCCGTCCCAAAAAGATTTACACCTTTCAAAAAAATTGCGTCCCACAATCTTCTACTCATTTCTATTAAAAAACCACTTTTACCCCTTATTTTTTCAAACTCTACTTACCACATCATACCTTTTTCCTAATAATCTACACATCACATCCTATTTTTACCCATCATATCAAGGGTATTTTTGAAAAGTCAACACAAAATTATCCCTCCCTTAATTTCAACTTTAGTCAAAACGTGTAAATCTTTTTGGAACGGAGGTAGTATATATGACCAATACACTACATATTAATGTTGTGAAGTACATGTCGATCACAAGAGACATGGCATGAAGATATGAACGCTTCGTTTGTGATTATTAGCATTAGCGTTTTGAATGATTGCAAACAACATTTGAGATTATCACTGTTAGTGTTCCGATTGAGTTTTTGAATGATGCAGATTAATTTTAAAAATATTTAAAATTAAAAGCTTCAGTTTAATACTTCGTATTAAAGATAAATGTTGAAAGTAGTGTGAATGAGGGCGGAATAGTAGTATATAGTTATATACTCTCCTTCATTTGAATATTTGTCTAGTTTTTGACTTCTTGCAGTTAAAATTGACGAACTTTGCCTATTAATTAATTAAAATATAATTGATATAAAATATTGACACAAAAATAATATCATTAGATTTGTTTTATGAAATAATTTTTAAATATTGTTTTATCCAATCTCTACACTTTGTACTTTGTAGATTTTAAATAATTAAAAGTCAAAGGTTAAAGTAATTGACTGTAAAAAAAATTAAAACTGAATAAATATTTAGAAGGGAGATAGTAATACCTAAGATTGGCAAGATGAGCTTGCAAACATTTAAGAATGGTTTGGTGAGCATATCTCCATTTTGAGACTTGATTTGCTTCATTCCTTCTACAGCTGGGGTAAGCACTGTTCCACCTTCCATTTTCTTCCCTTATTTACACAAAACACGAAGTAAAATTTTAAAATATTTTTAAATTTAGTTTATTTAAAAATTTGTATATAAATAAAAAAAATTAAACTTTCATATTCAAAAAGTACATCAAAATTTCTACAAAACACAAGAATATTTTTTTTATCAAATAACCAATAAAAACACACATTAAATAAAATTCCTGAGATTTTTGAATAGTGAAGGGTATAATTCATTGTTGGACAGAGGAAATATTATTATTATTATTATCATCATCATCATTTCTAGCTGATGAGAATGAAGATCAAATTAAAACAATGTCATGAATCCAACAATTAAATTTTGAAGTGCAATATTTTGACATTATCCTTTGGAGAATCAATAATGTACCATATAATTATCAATTTTTTTCAGCTAATAACATGACATGGTGAAAAGAATTGCAAAAACAAAAGAAATAAATGTACCTGGTGCTGGCCTGATCAGATCGCAATGCTTAGGCCATGTTCATAATATGAATGAAGAAAATTAAAGATACTGTTATGTTGGGACTTCAAAATGGAAAACTATATAATAATTTTTAATTTAAATGTGTATATTATTGACCTTTTGGATTTAGTTTTATTCTTCTTTTTGATGTGTCTTAAAACGAATTCAATGAAAAATGCTTTATTTTTGTAAAGGAATAAAAAAATGTACTCCGTATCATACAATTACAGGAAATTGTGGTCATAATAATATCTATTGGCTACCCGTGATTTTGTGCGGTTTTTACTCCTAGACCCCTGCGGAAGAAAGTCAACAAGGACATCCCTCTCCTTCCCAAAATCAATTTTATTTTTAATTTAAGCCCATATGGGTAGCTCAAATGGTTCAAAGAGAGGATGTCGGGCTCGTTGATCCTAGAGTCAAATTCTGAAAATGCCAGTATGAGAGTTCTATTATTTGTAATAGATCATTGTTTACCCCGGGCACGGGGCTATGACACTTTCAGTCAGATGACGCCACTCTACAAACTTGATCTATGAATCTCAACAAACATAATGCAAAGCTCACTTGGGACTAAAGAAAAGCTCGCCAATCTGAATACATATGCTCACTATTTTTCAAAATAAACTTTAAAAAGAGGTTGGACCACCAATCAACCGTCGGTCCATGGCATCGGAACGACCAACAGCAGCAGATGGTGACGGCGACGTCGGTGGCAGATGGCTGCGGCGAGTGGCGACCGACGGTGATCAGCAGTCAAAGTCCAATCATCGTCTCTTCCTTTTCTAGAAAAAATCAAAGGGTGAAAAAATCGGAATGAGCTTTTGTCATACATCTTGATTAGTTTTACAATTGTTGTGGGTGATCTTTACAAGTGAGAGTGATTAGCTTTGCGTCACTTGAGTATAGCATGTCATATCACCGAAACTTATAATCTGACCAGAGTCAATCCACACACACACACACATATATATCCGTTTATCTCTATTTCTTTTTTAAAAAATTAAAAATGATGATTGATCCGTATATTAAGCAAATACAGATTTAGCTTGCTAAGATCCACAATGAAACTTAGGTTTAGACCTGGCAAAATTTGACCCGACCCGTTACTAATCCAAAACCCGACCCGAAATTAGCGGGTTTTGAACATTGATTTTGCGACCCAAACCCGAAATGACCCGAACCCAAAGACCCGTTAAATTTTCGGGTCAGAACGGGTCGGGTCGGGTCGGGTTTGACCCGACGGGTTATGCACTTAATTGTTTATTTTTATTAGTTATTTAGTTTTATATATTAATTTAAAATATGATATACCCATTAGGCTACTCAAAACTCAAAAGGCGTAAAACCTAATCTAAATCTAGTGACATTCCAGTCTCTCTCTCTTTATGTGTGTGTGTGTGTGTATCGTTCTTCCACTCTTCCACCATTCGTCGATATTAGATGCCGACTCAATCAAAATGGTGAGAAGACACAAGAACAATGGTAGAATTTTTAATCTTATTTCATCCTTTTCAGTTGCTCCTACGTGTAACTCAAATTTTAATTCTTTACTTTTGTTTTGGTATTGCGCAAGAATTTCAATTTTTTATAACGTATGTATATTTTTGGGTATGTTGAAAGAATCTTCAATTTTTTTCATCTAGTGCAATTTTTTGGTATGCTGCAAAAAGATGATTTTTTGGGCATATTACAATTCTCTTTTGGTATGTTGCAAATAGAACTGCAAACTTTTATGATTTCGTTCTTTGTTTTGAATAATGCTCGGATCACATGATCTCTAAATAGAAAAATTTTTAATTTTTAAATACGCTTCTTAACCCGTTGGGTCAACCCGAACCCGATAACTCTGGGTCATGAACAAACACTCTTAGACCCGAACCCGAAATGACCCGAACCCGAAATAACCCGAACCCGATTATATCGAACCCGAACCCGACCTGACCGACCATTTTGCCAAGTCTACTTAGGTTCATACCAGATTTTACCAGAATTCAATTAGAGATGATCAAAAGGACCGTAGAGGTCGGACCGGACTAGTCTTTTAGAAAGACCGATACCATTTAGGACGGGATTGGTGTATACTTTTTCAAAAATGAGTCCAGTCCTTCTTTAATAATAAGGATATAATTAATTGCAAAGTCAAATTACAAAAATAAATTTCTCTCAAACCAAAATAGGAATGCTTTTTTTAAAAAAGAGAAGAAGTAGTTTTTAATTCATAACTCTTCGTGGTTGCAGAGTATATTGATTATTTAAGACAGCACTCCACATTATAAAAAAGGAGAGAAAAAAGAAAGAAAGAAGAAGAAAATGATTAGTTCCACCAAAACGTGGAAAAGAAAGGTCCTACCGGGAGTCGAACCCAGGTCGCTGGATTCAAAGTCCAGAGTGCTAACCACTACACCATAGAACCCCGAGTTGTTAGTTATTTCAGTTTGGTGTCTCTAAATAATAAACATTCCCACATACGGACCAATTCATCATAAGGGGGGATGAAAGTCATGAAACATTTCGAAAAATATGGTAAACGTAATTTAGGTATATTCTTTTGGATGGTAATTTTAGAACTGGATGTTCGAAAAAACTTAAAGAAATTGAAAAATATTAGAAGAATTAAAGTGTTAAAAGGTCGTTTAATCAAATGATTACTCAAATAAATATGTAAGAAAATTCTAATTTTAGATATTCAAAAATTCATCCGCTGTGTTTGAGACAATATGCTATAAATTTGGATATATAATGTTATAGTATATTCATACTCCCTCCGTCCCTAAATATTTGTCACATTTGTATTCCCGAGGCAAAATATCAAGTTTTTTCAATTCATTTTATTTACATATTGGTATAGAAATAAAAAATAGAATTACATATCAAAAAACTACATGAAAAGTTCTTCGAAATAAGAGGTGTCAATAATATTTTATTTTATCAAATAACCAATGAAAACGTAGAAATAAACAAAAGTTCCCGCGACTGCTGAAAAAGCAAACGTTGCAAATAATTTGGGACGGAGGGAGTAATATATAAATACTTGTTTAAGTATTTGTTGAAAGTAATTATAAAAAGTTAGAAAGAATTGAAAAAAGTTAAAAGAAACTCAAAAAAGTTTGAAGTTAATTTTTTGAAACCAAAATGAATATGACCTTAATGATTTAGAATCCATTTGTTTTTAACACTATCAACTCAAACGCAAAAAGTCAATGCCTCTATTGAGATTTGAATTTGTAACTTCCAATTGAAAGCAAAATGATGTCAATGTACCACACGGTATTTGGCAAGTCTATGTGCTTTAAAGTGCCTTGAAAATTGTACTTCATTCGTCTCAATTTAAATCGTCTGTTTTGGTTAACGATGTTTGAAGGTAGCTATTTTAAAATCATTTTATTTGAAAAATGATGTAGAATTAAAAAATAAAAAATTACATATTTAAAAACTATAAAAAAAAACTAGTAGTGAGTAAATATTTGGAAAGTGTTGTACTATTAGATTGAATTTATGTGAACTAAACCTAAATGAATTCATCTATACTAAAAGAAAAGTGAAAATAAATTTTAAAAAAAGAAGTCATAAAGGTAATGTGATGTGCTTCATAAATACCCTGGGGTATTATCCAAATTACTTTTCAACCTTTGTTTATCATGATTTATAAATTCAAATTAATAATGTAGTGTTGGATAAAACCTTTTGGTTTGAAGTTTAAAACCTCCCAATCCACACTCATTTTGGCAATTTTTGGTGCATTAGGAAGTGCAAATGTGACAAAAACACTCCGTAGTAAATACTACGGTGCATTAGGAGTATCTCTTTTGAAAATAATATTCTGATTTGACTTTCTTATCAAAATTTGTAAATTTTGACCCTAATATATGAAAAAAATAGTGTTTCGATAAAAATGTAATATAACAGTTTCCTGAATACTAATTACGTAGTACTCCGGTACTATTTTTTTAAACCGAATGAAAATAAAGTGAGGACTAGTAACCTCTAAATTAACAATTACTTGGGGCCTGTTTGGGAATAGCGGTAGAGATTAGCGTTAGCGTTTTGGATTAGATTTTAACAGTGTAGATTAACTTGAAAACGCTGACGCTAAACGCTATCCATAGATAGCCTTTTCAAAACGCTAACGCTAATCTCTAACGCTATTCCCAAACAGACCCTTGATACCATGTTTAAGAAAATTAACTCAATCAAAAGCTCAAATTTTTGCGATCGTAGACCCAGCAAAGAATGATTTTTTTACTTTAAGAGTCCTACATTAGACGTTTTGCAAGGGCAAAATCACGGATGTCTTAGATCATATATAGGGCAGGGGAATCCCATGTTTTTACTCAAGGAGCTAAAAGGAAATTCAATTAGCTTCTCACTCTATCCTCAAAAAGACCATCTATTACCTCTTCTGTTCCAGCACCAACTGGACTGCTCCCACTGATGTTTTTCAGCAGATTGTGGAATGTGTTCCTCAAATGTTGTCTCCCTTCCCCATCATTCCATAGAGCTTCAAGAACATCTGGAGGGTACACTGGTGCCGGTTGAGCAATCATCCGCTGACCCCCTATTTCAGTTCCGTTTAGCCTACGCATACATATAATATGATTACACATTAGATGAAACAATGGAAATCAGACTCTAGTAACCAGGCTCCGGATTTCGTTTACCAGGATTAGTACAAAAAATGACGTGTAATGAATTACAAATCGGGCAGAATTGGAACTGAAACAACCATATTAACCATTGCATGATATGAGTAAGCATGAAGGGAAGATGAAGGAATGGAATGTGGGATTACCTATTCAAAATTGTTGCCATGTTTGGCCATTCAGCAATATGGAAGTGCACATCGGTTGTGTCTCTATTTCTGCGCAGAAGCGACTTAACGTTCCCAAAAGATTTGCAAAGGGCGGGCAGTTC